CTCACTACAAAGAAAAAACAATTTTAGCCAATAACAAAGTTAATTATTTAATTTTTTTATTTATTTACAACCCCTCTATTATCTAGAGGTTCCCTTACCCTTTATATTATATTTTTATTTTTTATTACCCTACCCTTAATATTATATTTTTATTATTCACTATATTTTTTAGAAATTTGAATTATTCCTTTATATTATATTTTTCTTTTATTACCCTACCCTTAATATTATATTTTTATTATTCACTATATTTTTTAGAAATTTGAATTATTATCACATTAGTGTCAATGACAATATTCAAACTCGTACCTTAAAGTTGAAGATTGATACTCCAACCACTAAGTTACAGAAGTTTTTTGATAATAAGTTACAAATAAATTATATTTATATACAAATAAATGTATATTGGTATAAATATATAAATATAAAATCTATAAATACAAATATATTTATATATTTATATATTTAGATATATTTATATATTTATATATTTATATATTTATATATTCTATATATTTATATATTTATATATTTATATATTTATATATTTATATATTTATATATTTATATATTTATATATTTTTATATTTACATATTTTTATAATTTTATATTTTTATGTTTTTATATATTTTATATTTTATATTTAAAACTTAATTTATAAGATGGAAAAAAAATTCTTAATAGCTCAAGTAGAGATGAAAGAAAAGAAAACGACAAGAACCCTAATATTTTAATAAAGAATTTATAATATAAACATTAAAATATTAAATATAATATTATATTATATTTTTCAAAAGATAATAAATGTTTTTAATTCATTATTTATAAATTTAATTAATTCCAAAAATATTAATATTATTTGTTCATCATTTAAGAAAAAAATTTAAAATATAAATATTAAATATTAAAAATAATATTATATTTTTAAAAACAAATTTTAAAAAAGGTTTAAAAACATATATAAATTATATTTATATGTACAAAATATTAAAGATATCCACATTTAAAAAAATACAAAAAAAATTATACTTTAAATTGATGAAATATATTTAAAAAAAGTTATATTTATTAAAGTATTAAAAATATTTTGTAATATATAAGTTAAAAAAATTATCATTAAAATTTTTAAAAATTATTAGTTTTGTAATTTATACACAATAAAAATAAATTACAAATATTATAATATATTGGTATATTAGTATAGTATAGTATATTTGTATTCTAATTTTTAATTAAACTAAAATTAAACTAATCATGTATAATAATATATGAGGGAATAATAAATTTAATCCAATTACTTATATATATATATATATATATATATATATATATATATATATATATATATCTTTTTTAACTTTTTTCTTTTAAACTTCTCACATTCTACATTTTTTTGAAAACTCTATCATTTCTACTACATTATTATCCTCATCTCCTCCCATATTCTATTTTATCTTTACAATAATTAGTCCTTCTTTTATAGAATACTTTATTTTCTATTTTTATTATTTATTTTCTTATAATTTAAATAATTAATATTATTTTAACATTTATTTTTATGATTTTTACTATAATAAATAAAATAAAATGGTTTGATAATATCAATTAATTAAAATCATCACATCAAAAAGCTTAGATAACTACATTAAAATTATTAATTTTAAAAATATAAAATATATTTAAAAAAATACTAAAATTATAGATTAGAATGAAAATAGAATAAACAAATACTCTTTACTTTATATTATATTTAAGTGTGTGCACAAATGTTGACCTTCTTAACTATAAAGAAACAGTAGAAAAATATAAAGATAGATTTTGAAGGAGTGAATTTTGAAGATAAAGACTATTTTTATATAAATTTATTCTAGTGTATCAATTAACAATAATAATACATAAAATTTAAAAACTAAACTAAAAAAAAGTAAGTTTAAACTTATAAAAACATACATTAATAAAAGTATCATATTATATTAAGATTTTCATTATTTTCGTTAATTAAAAATTTAAATATGTTTCATAAATAAAATTATAAATTTAAATATATTTACATTTTTTATCCATCATAAATAAAAATAAATAGTCTCTTATAAATGTTGTTTTATTTTAATCCATCATTAAATTTGTTTTATATGATTTAAGACAAGTATATAAATTTATTTTATTTTATTTTTATGTATTTTTTAACTTCAAATTTATTTTTTATTTTTATTATTTATTTTCTTATAATTTAAAGTAATTAATATTATTTTAACATTTACTTTGATGATTTTTAATATAACAAATCAAATAAAATCATTTAATAATATCAATTAATTAGAATCATCACATCAAAGATTTAGATGACTAGATTAAAATTATTAATTTTAAAAAATATAAATATATTTAAAATAAAAATAATAAAATTATAGGTTGAGAAAAAAAACTAGAATGAACAAATATTCTTCATTTATAATATATTTAAGTGTATGTATCAATCTTGATCTTCATAACTATAAAAAAATAGTTAAGAAATATGAAGATAAAAATTAGAGAAGTGAATTTTGTAGATAAATTATTTTATAAATTCAAGCACTCATATCGAAAAGAAATAACATAAAAAAAGAAAAATGAATTTGATGACTTATCATATTATTAAAAATTTGGATGAAATAATTATGTATAATACTTTTTTAGAATATTATGTTTTTAAATTTGCTAATAGAGAAAAAGTTTCAGAATTCAAAATGTTAAATATTTTTAAATATTAAAATTGACTTTATAAAAAATTAGGAAAAAATAATTAATCCAAAAATATAATAATGATAAAAATATTATAAAAAAGAGTTCAAAAATATATTATAATATTTTTCAGTTTTAGTTTAATTATATTTTTAATTCTCAGAGTAGAAAAATATATTGTAAATATTTTATTTTAATAAAATATAATTTAAATTTTTAATACTAAAATTAAGATATTAAATAATAATAAATTTAATTAATTAAATTTAGTATTTGCAAACTAAAATTATAGTTTCCCTGTTTTAAAAAATTAAAATAAATATTTAAAAATAAAAATAAAAACTAATATTATTTTAAATTTATTAAAAGTATAATTAAATCTCTATTTTCTTCTCCAATTTTAGAAATTTTTTAATAAAAATCCAATATATAAAAATGTTGAAATTTTAAAAAGGTACCACCTTAACTTACATTAACTGCTTTTTTGTTTTGAAAAATCGACAAGAAAAATTGGACTTTGAAAAAATAAAGTTAATAATTTTGAAGTTATTTCAATGATAAAGTTTCCAAATGTAATTTATGCATTTATTGAGCAAAATTGGAGGTGTGTTGAATATAGATTTAAATATATTTTTAATTTATTTAAATATGGTTTATTTTTAGTATTTATAAAATGAATTAGTTTTTAATTTTTAACTTTTCTATGCAGTCTATTTCTAATCTTTGTCATTAATTTTGTTAAAAATGAAAAATATTAATTAGTATATTTAAAGTAAAAAAATATTTCAACTAAAGATAAATATATTTTTATAAATAATTTAATTAAATAATATATTTATTATCTAATGTATATCAATTATATTTTTATATAATTTTTTTCCTAGTATATCAATTATATGAAAACAATCATGGTTAAGCAATTAATAATAATAAAGCAATAAATTTAAAAATTAGATTAAAAATAAAATATTATAAAATAAAATTGTAATAATTTGATTGATATTGTAATTTTTTAATTAATTAAGTTAATGAGGAATTAAAATGTGATAATTTGATGTTTTCAATTTTTTTAATATAAATTTTTAAAATATAATTTAATTTCATTTGAAATTTTTAATTGAAAAATATATTAAAGAATATTTGTTATTAAATTTTTCTTAAATAATGTATTGAATAGTTAATATCACTCAAGTCTTAATTTATTATAATTTAAAATTTTTAATAAATTTGATTTATTTTTAATAATATTTTTGTTTTAGTAATTTAAAATTAAAGTTAATTTTTATTTTGTTAATATTGAGACCAAAGTTTATTTTTAAAATATATTTTAAAAAATAAATTACTTTTAAAAAGTAAATTGTAAAAAATATTCTAAAGCAATTAAAGTATATTTATAAAAAAATAAATTTAAATATAATAAAAAAATAATGTTCATTAGCAACCGATTTCAATTTGGTCGCTATTTTCTCGTTAGCAACTTATTTCAATTCGGTCATTATTTCAATTTATCATTCGGTTATTAAATCAATTGCTAAATAATTTTTTTATTTTAGTATGAAATAGTCATCGATTTAACGACCGATATTTTGTGACGCAAACTATTGGTCGTTATTTCGGTCGATAAATAAAAAAATGAAATCAAATCATATTTCGGTGTCAAAATCGATCGCTAAATTGTGACCGAATTAAATCGGTCTCTAAATCGGTCGCTAAATTTCGATCGAATTAAATCAATAGCATGACCAAATTAATTCTATCGCTAAATCAGTCTCTAATTGCGATCGAATTAAATTATTTGTTAAATCGATTACTAATTACGATCGAATTAAATCAGTCACTAATTTAGATCGCTCAAAATGTTTTTTCTTGTAATGACTAAAGTTTAATATAACTTACAAATATTTTAAAAAGTAATTATTTTAAAAAAGCTATATTTTTTATTTTTTTTATCTTTTTTTTGCACTTAATAATTACAAGTTATCCACCTTTGTTGTTAGATTAAAAATTAAATAAAAATTCAATTACGTTTTCTTAGAATATGAAGGAAATAAATTCAGTCCTTTTCAAATAACTTCAAGAAATAAACCAAAGAAAGTCAAATAATCAAGCACTATAATTTATTCACGTACCAACATCGTGTACTCTAAAACATTCAAGTTGAATACTATCAATTGAATTGGTCGTAAGTAAACCCAGAGTTTCTAATATATCATGAGCTTGTCGAATCTTTATATAAAGGGCGACAAGTTCTGAAACCACACAAAACATAAAGTCACAAATGGCTCCAAATAATGGACGTGGAGCAAGTGAGATCTTCCAAGGTCAAGTTCTCTTGTACAAGTCCCTGTATGGCCATATGGATGCTATGACTCTTAAATGGTTCATTGAGCTTGGCATACCAGACATAATCCACAATCATGGTCAGCCCATTACACTGCCCGAGTTGATGTCAGTTCTACAAGTTCCACACACTAAAGCTAGTGGCGTGCAGAGTCTCATGTGCTACCTGGCACACAAGGGATTCTTTGAGATAGTAAGAGCCCATGACAAAGCAGAAGAAAAGCAAGCATATGCTCTCACTGCTGCGTCAGAGCTTCTTGTCAAAGGCAGTGACCTTTGTCTGTTGCCAATGATGGAGTGCTTTCTTGGCCCAGATTTTTCAACTATATGGTCTCAGTTAAAGAAGTGGACTTATGAGGATAATCTCACCCTATATGATGTCTCCATAGGAACAACTTTATGGGAACTTCTCGATAAAAACCCTGCACGTAACAAGTTATTCAATGACGCAATGGCTAGTGATTCCCAGATGATGAACATGGCGTTGAGAGGTTGCAATTGGGTGTTTGAAGGAGTGGAGTCCATGGTGGATGTTGGTGGTGGAACTGGAATCACAGCCAAGACTATCTGTGAGGCATTTCCTAACATGAAATGCATCGTCTTGGAACTTCCACGTGTTGTAGAAAACTTGGCAGATAGCAACAATTTGACGTATGTTGGTGGGGACATGTTTATATCTATTCCCAAGGCTGACGCTGTTCTTCTTAAGGTATGCATGCCTAAACAAACATGCTACTAAATTTGTTTAACTATATATCAATTTGTTTAACTATATATCTATTCCCAAGGCTGACGCTGTTCATCTCACAAAAGACAAAGAAATGTCTTTCGATAGACTTTTAAAACTAAAAGTTGACCTTTTTATTATAAGTTAAAATTAACTTATAAGTTTTTTGATATATTTTTATAATTTTTATTACGACACAAATAATTTTTAATGATAATATTTAACATCCGTTATAAAAGAATTGAGTAGAAAAAAGAAAAGATGTTGACACACTTACAAAGTTTTTTATATCAATTCTATTATAATTGATGTAGAAAATATTCTATAATAAATACAATAATTTTCTTTTGCAAAATATTTTTACTAAAACGATTATTTATCATTTTTTTTCTCTATCTTCGTAGTAACCTCTCACCCTCTTTGAGTTGTAGTCTTGACATTTGTCTATTTTTTTTTTTTTTTTGAGGTCCTCATCTTTCGTCACCTTTTCGTTTTTTACAATGTCCTCACCTCGTACTCTCTTCGTTCCTTGTTGTTTTTATTTAAATATTTTTTTTGTGAATTATTGAAAATCTTAAATTATTATTTTTTTAAATTATCTGGTACTATTTTACATTTATTTGACATTTTTATGTTTGTTTTTGATTAATTTTTATTTATAAATAAGAAATATCTCTATTTTTAATATATTTTTTTTATAATCGATGTCAATTCTCCTAACTTTCAATAACGTCTTTTTTCACGATAATTAAAAAATAAATGTTATATGCAGAGTAAACCCGATATTAACTTTTGATTTTAATTAAAAATAATAAAATTAACCTTTTGTTTATTTTTTTTAAAATGTTTATAAAAAAGTTTATCCAAGTTAGAAGGGAACAAAAACAGTCTATTTTCCAATACTTTTCCGGATCAATTAAGATTTCTATTTTGTTTCATGTGTTTTATTCACATCAAAGTTAAAATTTTAAACGTGATCCAAAATCGTTGTTTTTTTTGTTAATAGCGTTTTTTTTAATGGTTTGTTGTGTGTACAATTATAACTTTACGTTAAATTTTAACTGATTGTGATATATCAATATAAGGTGATTGATTACGCATAGACTAAAAGTTGTCTTCTAAGAACAACAACAAAGATAAATTCAGTTATAAAAAATAGAATCAAAATTTTATATATTAATAAATAAAAAATATTTTAACTTTAATAAAAGATGGTACAAAATATAACTTTAAATGAAAAATAGGATATCTATTATAATTATATTATTTGTTTAATATAATAAAATGATATTTTCGATGAAGTTATGTTTTTCTTTTGTGAAATATATTTACAAATTAGAATATTTATTTATATTGTATCGTTTCACATGATTAAAATTTCAGGATGGGCCTAAGGTATGTTATTAACAAATTTGTTTGTATTCTTGCAGTGGATTTTACATAACTGGAGTGACAAGGATTGTAAGAAGATATTAGAAAATTGTAAAAAAGCAATTTCTGATAAAGGAGGAAAAGTAATTGTGATAGATGTTGTGATAAACGAAAACGAAGATGAGCACGAACTTACTGGACTGAAACACCTCATGGACATAACCATGGCATGTCTTATTAATGGAAAAGAGAGAAGAGAAGAAGAATGGAAGAAGCTGTTTTTGGAAGCAGGGTTCCACAGCTACAAAATATCTTCTTTGACAGGACATCTGTCTCTTATTGAGATCTTCCCTTAAATACTCAAGTTATGCTGTTGCATTTAATACTTCCTTTGCATCCACGTTGGAACAAATAAAGTTACAGTGTTTATTTACTACTACCATCAAGATAATATGTTATAAAATGTGATTCAAATTCTGAAATATGTTCTATTAAAAGTGCATGTGAGGAATTGATTTTGTCATTTATGTAACCAACCATATTTAGTGTAATAAGGTTGTTGTTGTTGTTTGTTGATGATCTTATGTTCTAATATGATGCAAATGGCCAATGCATATGTTTGTTTAGGTTATAAGGAACTCTGGGTTTAGCAAAAACAATATAATTATCTCCAACTAATTCAAACATCTCTTGCAACCTGCTGTATATTTCATTTGTGTAAAGTTACATCAATTGAAATTCAACTCTATTATTCCTTCCAATGGTAGACACTTGCATTCAAAACATTTCACTGTTGTGACTTGTGAGCCATAAATTAAAATTTGTGAAGTTACTAAAAGTTGTAATTAAAACTAATGGTATGTATCAAACTCACGTATGTACTAAAAATAAATCGTTTTTTAAATGAATTCACGAATTATAGACACTTCAATGTAATTATTGGTTTGATTATGAAGGAAAAAAAAAATGATGACGAATTATATTTTTGACACAATCATTCTATATTCCGTATTTTTTTTCTTTGCACCTCAATATTTATTTAAAAATAATAATAACATACTTCATTAGACTACACCGATTTTGATACTCTAAATTTAATAATAATTTCTAAAAAATTATATTTTCCTCTTTATTTTTAAATTATACTTCTTCTTTTTTTCAACATATGTATGTGTTGTACTAATAACAAAAATTGTAGTTACAACAAAATAGCAAAAGGAAAATAATACAAAGTGAGCTATTTTTTTTCTTTCTTTTAAGTCATTAAAATTTTTTTAACTCACCAAAAACATCTTTTTAAGATATTTCTTCACGGCACAAATGTTAAAAACTAAACTCACTTGTATTACCTTCCTATAAGATTCACTTCCTAAATTCAAAAATACTATACACATAAATTCAATCTTTAAACATCTATACTCCATAACTCCTATATTAAAATCACTCATTAAAATCTATTCAATTGGTTTTTATTTAGACCGTCAAAAAAGCAACCAAACTCAACCTGATTTATGATTTAGAGGGGTCAATTTTAACTTGATTGAAAATAAAAATAAAATTTAATATATATATATATATATATATATACCAAGTTAATTAATTAAAAATATATTTAAATAAAAATATATTTCTAATAAAATTGATTTTTATTTAAAATATAATGATTTAATATATAAATTATAAAATAATGCATCTATTCAATCTCAAAATAAGAATTAAAAACTTTTTTGTCATTATTTATTTTTAGAAGTTTATTAATTTAAAATAGTAATTAATCTTATTCATTAATCATTATATATTATAATAAGTGGTTGTTATAGATTTATTATGATATTTATTTTTAAAATAAGTGAATTCTTTATCAAATTAATTTATAATATATATATATATATATTAATAAAATAATATTTTTATTTTTATTTTAAAATAATTATTATTTCATAAAACGAACTAAGTCATAAGTCTACGATGTGACCATGACCTACCTAAATTAGGCTAAAATAAGTCTTATTTAATTTAAATTACAAATTTTAGTCTAATATAACTTATTTCTTAACCTTTTAGTCGGTTCATCAAATTAAGTTAATTTTGACACTCATAATCTTAAACTAGTAGATAATAATTTTATTAAATTTAAACTATAATAAAAAATAAAAATTATTGTTCTAATTAGATAATTAATGTAGATTATCCTGTTTTAATTAGATATTGATAAAAATTACCAAACCAAAATTATCATATACGGACTTGTAATTAAATAATGATATAAAGTATTAGAAGACAAGTAAATACATTATTTACCCATAATTTTTGTTAATAAATTAACTAAAATAATTATAACAATTTTAATTATTTGTCATTTTCTAAAATTTAAAATATAATTAAAAAATCTTATTTTTATATATATTAATGATAATTACGTATTTTTTAATGCATATTAACGAAGCAATGAAATTATTTAATATTAAAGTAGTTAATATAAATTACAAATTTTTTAAAAAGTAATTATTTTAAAAACATTTTGAAAAAGCTATATTTTTATTTTTGTCTTTCATTTTCTTGCACTTAATAATTACAATATCCACCTTTGTTGTTAGATTAACAATGAAATAAACATTCAATTACGTTTTCTTTGAATAAGAAGGAAAGAAATTCAGTCCTTTACAGATAACTTTAAGAAATAAACCAAAAAGTCAAATAATAATGCTCTATAATTTATTCACACATAAGCATCGTGTACTCTAAATAAATATGCAAGTTGGATACTATCAGCATTCTATAATATATAGTCGTTGGATTTGGAATTGATCGTTAATAAAAACTGGAGTTTCTAATATATCAATGAGCCTGTTGAATCTTTATATCGAGGGCTACAAATTCTGACACCCCACAAAACAAAAATTCACAAATGGCTTCAAATAATGGAGATGGAGGAAGTGAGATATTTCAAGGTCAAGTTCTCCTGTACAAAACCCTGTATGGCCATATAGATGCTATGACTCTTAAATGGATGATTGAGCTTGGCATACCAGACATAATCCACAATCATGGTCAACCCATTACACTTCCAAAGTTGATGTCAGTTCTACAAGTTCCAAACACTAAAGCTAGTGGGTGAAGAGTCTCATGTGCTACCTAGCACACAAGGGATTCTTTGAGATAGTAAGAGTCCATGACAACAAAGAAGAACAGGAAGCATATGCTCTAACTGCTGCGTCAGAGCTTCTTGTCAAAGGCAGTGACCTTTGTCTAGTACCAATGGTAGAGTGCAATCTTGCCCCTGATTTTTTATGTGTGTGGCCTCAGTTAAAGAAGTGGACTTGTGAGGATAATCTCACCCTATTTGATGTCTCCATAGGATCAAATTTGTGGGAACTTCTCGGTAACCCTGCATATAACAAGTTATTCAATGTCGCAATGGCTAGTGATTCTCAGATGATGAACATGGCGTTGAGAGGTTGCAATTGGGTGTTTGAAGGAGTGGAGTCCATTGTGGATGTTGGTGGTGGAACCGGAATTACAGCTAAGACTATCTGTGAGGCATTTCCTAACATGAAATGCATCGTCTTGGATCTTCCTCGTGTTGTAGAAAACATGGCAGAAAGCAACAATTTGACATATGTTGGTGGGGACATGTTTAAATCTATTCCCAAGGCTGATGCAGTTCTTCTTAAGGTATGCATGTCTAAACAAACTTTTACTAAACTTGTTTAACTGAGAAAAGCATGCTTATATTATTTGTTTAATGGAAAATTTATATTTTTAATGAAGTTATGTATTTTTTTGTGCAATATACTTATAAATTAGGATACTTAATTTATTATGTGATTAAACTTTCAGGATCGGCCTAAGTTATGTTATTAACAAATTTGTTCGTATTCTGCAGTGGATTTTACATAACTGGAATGACAAGGATTGTAAGAAGATATTAGAAAATTGTAAAGAAGCAATTTCTGATAAAGGTAAAAAGGGAAAAGTAATTGTGATAGATGTTGTGATTAACGAAAACGAAGGTGAGCACGAACTTACTGGACTGAAACTCCTCCTGGACGTAACCATGGCTTGTCTTATGAATGGAAAAGAGAGAAAGAGAAGATGAATGGAAGAAACATTTTTTGGAAGCAGGATTCCAAAGCTACAAAGTAGCTCCTTTGACAGGATATTTGTCTCTTATTGAGATCTATCCTTAAATACTAAAGTTATGGTGTTGGAACAAATAAAGTTGCAGTGTTTATTTGCTAGTACCAACAAAATAATTTGTTAAAAATTGTTACAAGAATTAGAAATCTGAATATCGACTGAATGTGTGTGCATGTTGATACACTCTCGCTGCGAACGCTCAAAGGTTTTAACACTCTTCGAGTGAGTGTCCACTCCTCGAAAAATTAAGGGAAAGAGAATAATAGAATTTGGGGAAAAAGCATCTTGAAAACTTTTATTCCGCTTCTATTTTGATTACATCATAGTTATTAAAAGGAATTGGGTGCTAACAATCAAGCAAAAATTAGGGAAATAAAACAGGAATTAAACTAATAATTTGCGACAGAAATTTCAGGAATTAGTTTGAGCATATTAGGATCTTTTAATTTTGTCCGGACATAATTTGAGCATATAAGGATCTTCTAATTTTGTCCGCGACATAAGCGATCATCCACGCCGCTTCTTTCTTGCTCGTTTCCTTACTATTGGGTCATCCTTCCTTATTGGGTCCGGGTCCATCTGGTTGGTTTGTATCATTTTTCCTTCTCGAGAACTCACCTTGTCCTCAAGGTGAAAATCGAGATAACAAGTGCGGAAATTTTCCAAGTCTTCCCAGGAAGCTTCATCAACTCGGACAGACCCTCCCAATGCACCAAGAGTTGTTCCTGTGGTTGCCCGTGAACTAACCGAGTTCGTCAATCTAAAATTGCCCTTGGTTGATCAATAGGTTGGTTATCAAAGCTTTCCAAGGGTAAGTCACATGCGAACATCTTATCGAGTACCACGAAAAGGTTTAAGAGCCGACACATGAAAAACCGGGTGAATGCGACTACCGGGAGGAAGTTGGAGTTTGTATGCCACTGTCCCAATGCGCTCGATGATGCTATAAGGACCATAGAACCTCTTCGAGAGCTTGTGGTGTTTCAATTGACGGACTGATGTTTGGCGATACGGTTCGAGGCGTACGAGAACCAAATCACCAACAAGCAGAGTAATGTCTCGACGATGTGCATTGGCCTTCCGACGCATTCTATGTTGAACGGTAGTTAAATTTGTCTTCAAAGTGCGGAGTAATTCGTCACGAGAAGTTAGGGCCTCATCCAATACTTGTATAGAAGTGGATCCCCTAGTATATGTTGGAATGGTGGGTGGTCTTCGACCATAAAGAGCCTCGAAAGGGGACATTTGCAAGGCACTATGGTAGTTGGTATTATAATGAAATTCGGCCCACGGGAGGAATGCAATCCATGAAGACGGTTTATGTTGAGTGAAGGCACGAAGATATTATTCCAACCCACGGTTAACTACCTCGGTTTGACCATCGGTTTGAAGGTGATAGGCACTCGCTCATAGCAAGCTTGGTGCCACTAAGTTCAAACAGCTTGCGCCAAAAGCGCTAATGAAGACCGGATCACGATCGGACACAATGGAACGAGGGTACCCATGGTGACGCACAACCAAAGACACAAACAACTCGCTACTTTGGAAGCGGTAAATGACGTGGGAAGAGCACCAAAGTGAGTCTGTTTTCGATAATCGATCCACAACAACAAGGATAACCGTGGATCCTTGAGAGGGAGGGAGACCCGTAATAAAATCCATTGTCACATATTCCCAAACCGTCTCCGGAATCGGGAGAGGTTGAAGGAGTCCCGTTGGAACCTGCGTTGAGTATTTAATTTGTTGGCAAGTAAGACATGAGCCGACATACTCTTCCACTGCTTTACGCATACCGGACCAATAAAAATTGGCAGCAACACGAACTAGGGTACGTTTCACACCAGCATGGCCACCACTTGGTGTATCGTGAAATTCGCTAATGATTGTATGACATAGAGGAGATGTTGGGTTGATCACATAACGACCGGTATGGAAGAGGACCCCATTCACGATAGTATAAGGGTACCGGAGCAATCCCTGCATGTGTTGTTCCCGAAAAGTCTGATAGAAAAAATCTGAAGCATTATCTTTTTGGAGCTGAGTAATAATACCATATGTAGGTGATGACACTAATGCTCGAGTGCGGGTGTGTGGTCACTGTCTGCGCGGTCAGCGAGCACACGTGAAAGTGCGTCGGCCACTTTATTGGAAGCCCCAGGTTTGTACTCGATGTGAAATTGGAACCCCAAGAGTTTGCGCACATACGATCGCTATTCCGGAGTTTGTATTACTTGCTCGAAGTAATTCTTTGATGCTCTTATGATCGGTTCGGATGACAAAAAAATGACCTAACAAGTATTGTCTCCATTTAAGAACAGATTCCGTAATGGCATGTAGTTCCTTGATGTATACAGATGCAGCTTGTAACTTCGGGCCCAATTTCTTACTAAATAAGGCAAGGGGTGGCCCTCTTGCATTAAAACAGCTCCAATACCGACGTTGGATGCGTCAGTCTCTATTATAAATTCTTTAGAAAAGTCGAGTAAACTAAGGACCGGCGCAGAAACCATAGCTTGCTTGAGGGCAAGGAAGGCCCGTTGAGCATTTTCATTCCAAGAGAATGCATCATGCTTCGAGAGATCAGTTAAAGGAGAAGTTATACTTGCATAATGGGCAATGAATTTTCTATAGTATCCGGTAAGGCCTAAGAACCCCCTAAGTTGTTTGACCAGATTCTTGGTATGGGCCATTTTTCCATGGCTTCAAGCTTGGCCGGATCCGCTGTACACCCCGAGAAGAAACTATATGGCCTAAGTAGTTAATGGACTCTTGACGGAATAAACATTTGGACAGTTTCACAAAAAAACAATGAGTTTTTAAGGAAGTGAAAACCAATGCTAAATGTTGCAAGTGATCTTCAATAGAGGCACTATATATCGGTATGTCATCAAAAAAACAATCACAAACCTTCGTAAGTATTGAGAAAACAATTGGTTCATTGCGGCTTGGAATATTGACGGTGCATTAGTAAGTCCAAACGGCATTACAAGAAATTCAAAATGGCCCTCATGTGTGCGGAACGCCGTTTTATAAGTGTCACTCTGGATGAACCCGAATTTGATGGTACCCATCTTTCTTCTTTACCAATAAGACGGATGAAGAAAATGGATCGTGGCTAGGGACGATGATGCCTTGATCAAGCATTTCTCGGATCAACTTCTCCATTTCATATTTTTGAAATTGAGGATATCGATAGGGCCTCACATTGATCGGCTTGGATCCTTCAACAAGATGGATGTGATGGTCAACCGTTCGTGAGGAGGCAATTCGTGGGTGTAGAAAAAATGGACTTAAAACGTTGTAATAGATCGATGAATCGGGTCGGGTAGGTTGGATGGAAAATTGCTGGATGGTTCTGGGAGAGAATCAACGTCTTGAAGGGACGTCGTGATGGTAAAAACACTGGCCACATTATTGGTGTGAACCAATGCTTGAAGCTGATGCAGTGACACTGATTGTGAGGCTAGAGAGGCATCACCTACTAAAGTAACTTGGGTCCCTTGCCACATGAACTCCATAGTGAGAGCCGAATAATCATGAGCAACTTTGCCCAAAGATTGCAACCAAGGAAATCCCAACACAACATCGGGACATTCAATGTTCGGGATAAACAAATCCACCTCAAATTTAATGTCCTGTAAGATAAGAGGGACATTATGGCAGCAAAATTGACAAACCAAGAAGGTTCCATCTGTTAGGAACAAGACAATAATAAAGGAAAGAATAAAGGAGAGAAAAATAAACGACACAAGAATTTTAACGTGGTTCGGCTAAAATATGTATGCCTACGTCCACGACTACACTAGGAAGTATTTTTATTTCGTGTGTATCTCAAACTTTACATAGGGTTGCTTATATAACAAAATAGAGAACCTCATCTCCCAATCCTAATCGATGTGGGACTAAATCAAGCACCATAATACTAACAATTCTCCCACTTGGAGTTTGATTTACGTTACCACCTAGTGTAGTGCCTTCATCATCAATTTGCTCGAAGGCCGGTTGAGGCAATGCAAAGCCTCAACTTAGTTGTTGTAACAGTCTTGGTCAACATATCAGCGGGATTCTCTGCACCTGGAATCTTCAACAAACTCAAGTCTCCATCATTTATCGGGTTTCGATAAAATGATACTTCAATTCAATGTGCTTACATCTCGGAATGAAGGATTGGATTTTTAGCAAGACAAATAGCACTTTGATCGTCACTAAACAACGGAGAACCATCTTGTTCTCTTCCTAATTCTTTTAGAAGGTTCTTCAACCATATCATCTCCTTCGCCGCTTCCGAGATAGCTACATACTCGCTTCAGTGGTTGAGAGAGAGACCCTTTCTTGAAGTTTAGACTTCCAACCGATAGTTGTACCACCCAATGTAAAAATATAACTTGTTGTGCTCTTTCTACCGTCAAGATCACCTCCCAAGTCCGCATCGGAAAACCCACGTAAAATGAGATTACTTCTCTTGAAAGACAAATGCATCTTTGAAGTGCCTTTCAAATATCTCGAATATCCACTTCACTCCTTCCCAATGCTCCTTTCCGGGATTTGATAGAAATCTGCTCACAACTCCCACTTGCATGTGCTATGTCTAGTGCGGTGCAAACCATAGCATACATCAAGCTTCCTACTGCGAGATGCATATGACACTTTAGACATGTGACTTTCTTCTTCTTCGTTTGAGAAGATTGCCTCTTTGAAAACTTTAAGTGAGTTCCCAAAGGTGTATTCCTGGTTTTAGCATTCCCAACATTGAATCTGCTAAGCAATTTTTCTATATATTTTTCTTGAGATAAGTTCAAAATACCTTTATCTCTATCTCGGGAGATTCTCATACCAAGAATTTGCTTGGTTGGACCAAGATCCTTCATTTCAAAGCTCTCCGACAATTGTTTCTTCAACTTGTCAATTTACGCCATATTAGCTCCAACAATCAACATGTCGTCAACATATAAGGCAAGA